TGAGATCCAAAATCAAACCTGAGCGAAAGATGATGCAAAGTTGAACGATTAAGACGAAATCAAGGAAGTTTGAGACGAAGAAAAGGAACTTAATCGAATCGGAGAAGGTTGGTGACAATTTCGTTTTGTTGGATCTTTTTGGTGTTGAAACGCGATGAAGGCGATGACTCGGAGCGAACCGCTTTTTTTCTTTTTCTCAATTTTTGTTTCAAAAATAGTTTATCGAATTTTAAAGGGAAATGAGGAACATTGCACAGTAACTTAGTGAAATCTTTTCCTTTCATTATCATGATTTGTTTGAAGCTGATCTACGATGTTGTTGTTCGTTTTCTTATTTTTGCTTGAAAAAACTCGATGCTTGATAAAGGTGGGCTTCATACTGTTGTGTGTTTAGTATACCCTGGCCCATGACTCTGGTTTTATGGCCACACCTCCCAAGTTTCTTCAGTGCCACCCTGGCTTAGCTTTTTTTTTTAAAGACTTCTTTCATTTTTGGTTGATGTGCTTTGTAGCTCATATTGATTTTTTATATGCACACCCATCATCTAGCGCTTCCCCCTCTCTTGTTTGTTTCTTTTTTTTTTATAAATTTTTTTCTAAAAAAAAAAAGAAACTTTATTAGTTTTTAAATCTTTTATATCTTCTTGATTTACTTCTCATTTCATTTTGACTTACCTTTGTTTTTTCATTTCAGTTTCGATCGATGAAGTCTTTCTATTCATAAACGTTAATTTATTGAGGTTGTTAACCTTCATTATTTCAAATCTGTAGTGAATGATCATCGAGATTGTTTTCTATACTTTAGGATCGTGATAGGTTACCCTCAATTAATTAACACAAGTTTATGATTAAGACGAGATCGTCACCTTTTCTGTCCGTGTGACACAATTACATTGGAAAATGATCCTCAATATCATTTCTCCATTGTGTTTTTAGCACGGATATCAACTTGCGCGACCTCCTATAGTTTTATCTTCGTCATAGATCGAGCTACGACGATTTAGTGCTACATTTGGTACCGATTCAATTCATATCAACTAAAAACTAACTTTACTTTCCGTCAATATACTCTTGTTTTATTTTCAGTCAATATATCTTGATTATATTATCATTATTCATATACTTGTTAATATTATCTTGATTATACTATTGTGGATATTATCTTGATTATATTGTTATATATCTTGTCATATTATTCACATTGTTCATATTCGTATTCATATTGTTCATATCTTATTCATATCCTTCGAAAACACAATAATAACGATCAGAACCTAAAAGCCTAAATTGGTGGACTGTTGGTTATTTTTCTGAGCAACAGATTATTGGACTTTATCAGAAACCCTAACTTGGCGTTTTTGTCCGATTCTTGCTCAAGGCATAGTTTAGGACACTTCGAACACACACGGCTTCCTCTTGGGCTACCTTACAATGAGACATTTTATTTCGTGCAATCCCGTGTAATTTACATGTACCCCTCTCCCATTTAGATGTTCGCATTCATATTTGCTTTGATTGTGGTTTATCTTCTAGAAACACCCTCAGGGACTAGCGTAGACAAAACCGTTTTCAAACTAATTTTTGATTCGTCATCGAGTCATTTTCAAATACCCCTCATAAGTCGATTGCTCGTACGCATTCGACATCAACCCATCGTACACACGTTCACATTTCATCGTAGTTTTGTTATTAGGAGCACCATCAGGGACTAGTATCGGTCCTCACAACCAAACCCTCGATTCGTCGTCGAGCCAACTCCATTTTCAAACCAACCTCCTTTCAAACACGTATTTGCACGCAAATATAATCAAACCCTTAATCCAACGTCAATCGGTATTTTCAAACTTATAAGTCAGGTCCATTTTGCCTTGCAGTCCACTTCTTTTCGCAATGTATCTGATTCAATCCTTTTCAAACGCTTTTATTAAATAATAACGAAAGAACAAGATTCTTGGAGTCTAGCATTCCTTGGATTTTCGAATGAATGGCTCTTGAGGCGCACACTTTAAGTTGTCATTCATTCACCCTTTCGTCTTAAGACACCTAATTCTTTATTCAAACATTTTCGTAATCAAACTTACGAAAGAAGGATATTCTTGGAGTCTAGCATTCCTTGAGTCTTCGAATGAATAGCTCTCGAGGCACGCCCCTTGAGTTGTTATTCATCCAAACTTTCAAGTTCAAAACATTCCACCTTTCCTTAAACCCTCCTAATCAACTCCCGAAAGAACTGAGTTCTTGGAATCTCGCATTCCTTGGATTCTTGAGTGACTACTCTCGAGGCACGCCCCTTGGGTTGTATTTCATTCAATCTTTCGTCTCCAAACCAAACATCACTCCAATTCAACCCCTCTTTTTTCGTGGTCGTCTCCACGAACTACAGATGCTCTGATTCTTATTCTCATCTGAATGTAAGATACGTAGGCACAAGGTTGCGATGATCTTGGTGAGCACAATTCTATCCATCTCATGTTTTCCCCTTATCATTTCCCATAGTCGAACTACGAAAGCTTTGGTTTCTTATTTTTGTCCAAATGAGCACACGTAAGCACAAGGGTCCCAATCCTTGGCGAGCACCTTATCCTATAACCACTCATTTTCCCTTAGCGTTATTATCCTTTTATCTTACCGTTTCGATTTATCATTGAGAAGAAAACAAGCAAGCTTAGATAACGTTCATCACAAATCGTACTAAGAGGTTCCCGTTGAGTACAACGGGCGTGAGGGGTGCTAATACCTTCCCCTTGCGTAACTGACTCCTGAACCCAGAACGTGGTTGCGACGACCATTGTTCTTGTCTTTCTTTTAAAAGGTTTTCTCGATATTTTTCTTTCCCACCTTTTTGGGATAAATAAAGTTCGGTGGCGACTGTCCAACCGCATTCCGCGCCTTTAACGGGAGTGTCATGTTTTCGAAATATTATTTTTCGACGTGTGATAATCATCCAAGAGTTTGAAGCATAAAACCAAGGGTAAGCTAAAGTCTTCACTTCAGAGTCGTTGCACTATAGTGTTGACTTTAAACATATGTCTAACTTAATTTGGGAGGATAATTTGATCAACCATCTTGTTTATTTTTTATTGTTTGTATTTTTTTTTTGCAATTGATTGACTTAAGTATTATCATCATCAAAACTAAACAACTACTAATTTAATAGCATATTTGATATTCATAAATTTCACCGTCTTAAATTACTTCTTAATTATAACTGAACGTAAATCCTAAATATATTTTTCGGATTTGTTAGGGAAGGAGCTAGGATATGACCCACAAAAAGCTGACAATGCGTTCCATGTAAGATTCATGTGGCTAGAGTTAAAATACAAATGGCATTTGAATGCCTCGTTGGTGAATCAGGATTAAGAACGTCATAGAGGTCAAAATAGGAAATTTGCAATAAATCCATATCTCATGTATTTGATTTGGCATGAAGAATCATTTTTAAAGATAAAATATGTCATTTATATCAATGTGAGGTAGCTGAAGTTCTTCGGGGAAATAGATTCAACGAACGTGTATGCATAAGTTGATGATGGGAATAGATTTGGTGAATTCAATGAAAAACACAGAAAAATATACCAAAAAGAAGTTCCAATAGAAGAAGAAACCCCAAAAAGAAGTTCCAATAGAAGAAGAAACCCGCAAACCAACATCCAATTTCACAAGACCTGCTTATGGAGGTTACCATCGCACCTTCATGATACAGTCGTTTGTTCATTTGTTAAGTAGATAAATGATCTGTGTCTTAATGCAAATTATGTGTCTTAATGCAAATTATGAATGTATCAAACCAATCACATAGTCGAAGTTACCCTTGTCTTTGAGTCATGTAATTCATTATTATTAGCAACATGAGGTGGGTGCTAGTCAAAAACTAGACAGGTAATTGATGTTTCTTGAATCTCAGCCTGTTAAAAGAGACTAGCCTGACTCCGGGAAGGTCACACGTAGATCTATGTGCAAACAGAGGTCATACCACGCCTTCCCCTTCCCCCCTTCTTCTGCCTCATTTGCTAGTGTTTTCTTCTGCCTCATTTGCTAGTGTTTCCTCCTCAAGTATGCAAATAGGAGTGAGAATAGGTTAGATGGGACTATTCAAAACCTAAGTCTGATCTATAGCCTATCGTAGGCTTAATTTTAAGCCTAGTCTTTTCGAATGTCTATTTGATCTATTAACCTACATAAAAACCTATTATATTTGAACATTTGTAAATAAATTTAATAAATTAAAAAATCAATGAAAATAAATACTTATTTTCAATGACTTATTCAAGTTTACATATTAACATAAATTTTATAATACTATTTGTTTAAAAAAACTTATGATATTAATCATAAGATTTTTTTTTAAAACTTATTTTCATAAATTCTTCAAGATAACTAAGCATTACTATAATAATAATAATAAAATTATTCATATTTATTTAAATAAATCGGCTTGATAGACTTAAAAGACTTTTTTTACGGCCTTTGGCCTAGTCTTTTTAACTAAATAAGCTTTATAAAAAAGCTTAGACTTTTTCTACTTAATTAAAGTCTAATAATTTATGAATCTTTCATTCAAAATTGCAAATATGTTTCAAGTGTCTCTTTTATTTTATAGTTTCATAAACTAAATTGACTAAAAAAACACATTTGATAACAAAAATAACAAACAAAAGAGACAGCTGACTTCTGTTTTACCCATTTAACATTACTTCCCAAAATATTGCAATGGAAAAAAATTATATTTAAGCCCTCCGAGCACAAGAACTGAACAGATGGCATCAATCCAGCGAATTTCATACATGCTTAAGCGTAGACGAGAGAAAAATAGATCCTGTAATACTGGTCTTGTTACCATCAAAATTAAGCTACCACAATCAGGCATTTAAGTTTTAAAGTTATAAAATCTCAAAACATCTTAAACTTCATTCACTATAGCAGTAAATAAGAAACAAAACTCTACCAAAAAGTCCAGACAAAACCATACCCTTTCCATGGGAACTGAGAACTAGTTTTCACTTAAAGCACTTGGCATCCAAAAGAGCCTCTCCCTCAAATGGCTCAAAATCTTCAATCATCTGACTAACACGCTCTTTCTGAGCTTCGTCGGAGATGTCAACCTTGGTCCACTCATAGAGCTCCATGTCATAGCATTCATCAATGACAAACTGTGGAATCTCCTGTCCACGGAAAAGCCACAATCCCTTCACCTTAAATGGAGCCGCTGATCCAATCACAAGCATCTTTCCAAATGCATACTTGCGAGCCAGATCCATCCTCTGAAGAAATCCACCAACCTTGTTCAGTGTGACGAAAGAAACAGTATTCTCATCTTGGTATTTGTAATCACAGAACCATAGAGAATATCCCTCTGGATCATACATGTCCCAGAATCCTGCAAGTCAAACAAACGTTTAAAAGTGTCATTCTGTGCTACAATCATAACTCTAGAAGCTACAATAGTATATTGCCAAAGGATAAAAAGAATTGAGTTTCCATAAACAACAGTATATTGCCAAGGGATGTAAGCTACAATCATAATTCTAGAAGCTACAAAAATTTGGGAAAAATACAACAGGGACAAGCTACAAAATTTTGAAAAATAGAAACCACAGGAGCGAAATCAAAATACCTTTGATTGCAACCTCACGGAAGTTGGTCTTAGTGTTAGAGTAAAGTCTTTTCCACTCATCCAATATCATCTTGCTTGGGGGAAGAAGATCAAGAGGATTCTTGGCTTTAGGCTTGGGTGCCTCCTCTTCAGCTTCTTCTACTTTGGGCTTTGCAGGCTCTGGTTTAGCCACTTTCTTGGGTTCATCTTTAGTTTTGGGCTTAGATTCCTTAGGCTTCTGAGCAGATGGAATAGGTGGCAAAGCTTCGGTCTGCTTAACCTGGCCTATTATCTTTCGGAAGTTTGGCTGGTTGACCAAGGTCCAGAAGTATCTCTCAACATGAGGAAACTCTGAGGTGAAGCTCTTGACCAAGAGTTTGGAGAAACCAAGCCACAAGTTGGATGTTGTTATAATATCAGCAAGGGTAACAGAATCCCCAACCAGGTAGGTATTGTGGGCAAGGTGAGTGTTAAGAGCCTCAAATGCTCTCTTCAATGAAGAAAATGCAGACTCCTCCACCTTCATTTAGACACAGATTTCAAAAGGGAAAAATATTCAATAAAAGGGGAAGATAACAAGTATTATAAAAACTGGATATAGAACAATGAACTAAGTACCTGTATACTCGGTGAAATCAATTTCTATTTTATTGTGTTAGTTTTGCTTGTTAAATATGAAGAGACTTTTCAAGTGAGTGATTGTGATAAGTAAAAGATAAAATATTATATAGGGATGGTACATTTCAGGAAATAATGAAAATAGCTAGACACTTTTATTGTTTACAGAAAAGCAATACAAGAATCTTTACCCTCTTTGTTGACAAGGAAAACCAACACAAATTTCCAGTATAAGCTGTTTTCACAAAGTAAATGGGTACTAAGAATTAAATTTTGGAGTTACAACCAACTAAACCAATTGATTTCAGAATACTCCTATCATAAATTGCTAATAGTTGCCACAACTCAATAATATTATATAACTGCTATCAATACTCAAGATTAGAATCTTTAAACCAAATAAAACGGCAACTAATGTATAAAAAAATAAATATTACACACAACTTACGATAGGAATGTGGGGGGCATGCCCAAGTCTTGGAATGAACAACTTCAAAAGATTGGCATCAATCTCCAAAGAAGAAAAATCAATCCACTGATCCACATGAGCCTGAAAGACCAGAATACAAATAGAACATGACATGAGGCCACTTTCAAGAAGTCGCACTAAAACAGACATGGAAGATAAACCAGGAATATTAATGAATGGATATATAATAAAATAGTACCTGATCAATGGGAGAAGATCCAAACAAATTGTTTTCACCCAATCGAGCAACTACAGCAAACCCAAACCCAAGCAAAAGTAAATGACAACAACATTACATCGATTAACAAATGCATAAATAGATATGTGTAAGCAACGGCCGTACCATGACGCGCAATTGCATTGCTCTCAAAGACGGCACCTTCAGGGGTTTCCAAGACCGGAATCTGGAATCAGAAAACAGAATCATGTTTAATCTTTTAGTAAAAGTAAAATTGAAATTTTATATTTATAAGGTACAGAGTGAGGAAGCATGCATGGATAATCCACCTTTCCAATAGGGTTCAACTTGAGAAAGTGAGGGGTTTTATTAGAGACACCCATCTGAAAATCTGGTGCCAATTCAACTTTGACACCAACATACTCAGCAGCAATCAGAGTCTTGTAAACATTTTTGTTTGCCTGGGTGGCGTGGAGGATCTACAGAATAAACAATTACACAAAATTGCAATCAGAATAGTTGTCGACAGTTGAATGATGAAATAATAAAGTAATAGAAATGAAAATGAACTAACCAGAGCCATGGAAATGAAAGGAAAAACGCGCAGGTCTGATTTGAGATCTGAAACAATATAAATCTGAGTATAGTATAGTAACAGAAATGGAGAAATGAGAAACGAGATTGCACTTACAGTAATGGAAGGGAGGAACGAGAGTTTTGGGAAGCAGGACTCTCAATTCCTGTGAGCGTTAAGGAATGAGAATCAATGAATCAATGGTGAGTGGAGAGGAGAAGACAGTGGAAAACTAGGTTTTCAGATATACTGGTGCGATGCCTCTAAACCCTAAAACGGGTCGGGTGACGGCCCACGACTCATAAGCCCTTTCCGTTTTCTATTTTTCGTACCCGTTATTGCAAAAATCTTGTTTTATTTTATTTTTGAAAAGTTTGACCAAAGATTAATTATTTTTAAAAATGATTTAATGGAAGATTAATTATTTTAAAAGTTGATTTAATGGATGTGCAGTGTAAAATAGTTTAATCCTGTAAATTAATAAAAAATCAAAGATTATATATTATTAAAAAAAATTAAAATATAAATATGATACGATAGAATACATGATATTATTGATTACAATGTAAAATATTTTCTTTAAAAAATGGAAATTATATTTATTTACTAAAAATAATAAAAATCAGAAAAATTGTAGATAAATTTTCCTCAATTATATATTATGGTAGTCTAGAATTATTGTCGAAAAATAACAGTTAATATTATTTTTGAAATTATAAAAATAGTTCTTAAAATATCTTTACATATTTGGTTAAATATTTACAAATTAATATTTTACTTTATAAATATAAAAGAAACATCTAGAAACAAGTTTATTTAAAAAAAGTATGTAGGCATTAGTATTATAATATACTATTTTAGTTTAATAATAACAAATATAATATTTTTGTGGGCCTAAAGAAAGATAGTAGGCCAAAATCTAAAATTTATACTTATCAAGAATGATGAAAATAGTTTTTTTTCTTAATTTACTCTAATAAAAAAATTAATGTTGCATTTATAATATAAGAAATTCATATGTTCTGTAAAACACTAAATTAATCTTTGGTTTAATTATACCAACACATAGAATTAGGGGCATGTTATGTTTAAATCTAACTAAATTCGATAAGAATAGGGCTTGATTGCATCACAATTACATCATTTCCACTAAATAATCCATTTTTGTGTCAAATTGTACACTGAATAGTAGGAAAAAGTTGCAACCAGGACGGAAAATTGTTTTTGCTCTAACAAGACTTTGACATACATTTGGGAACAACTCTCAAGCTATTGCTGCTTAGAAAGCATATGGCTAAAAAATGTTTATTCCAATACTGCAAAACATTAATCAAATTGCTTGAGGTGTGACACGCTTCTCACTTCCATTTTTTTTCCAAGAAAACACATTTGGTTTGAATCAAATCTTCATAACTTTCTCTGTCACCAACAAAACCTGCTCAGAATAAAGGAAATGGTGGCTGATCTAACGTTTTCGACGGTTTTAAGGTGGTGTGTGGTCTCAAGGTGGTAGATCTGTGGTGGTGGCAACGTGTTCCCGGTGGTAGATTTGTATTCCTTCGGATTCTTTGTTAGCTTACACGTGTTTCACCCTACTGATCTAACGTGAACATATTTTTGTTTTTTGGATGATGGAACGTTTTATTTTGATGAAAATTTTGGCGATGGTCGCAAGCATCATGGTTCTCTTTCCACATCTTCAGTTGTTCAAGGGATTACATCATTTTCTATTGTAACTTCTGAAAGAATAGATGTATGTGAACTGTGAAGTGTAAGTGATGGCTTTGTAATTTTTTTTATTTGCTTGAATTTTCTGTTCATGCTTTGGTTTTGCATTATCAACTTCAAGGGATAAAATATTGGGTTTAGAAAAATATTGGGTTTTGCATTATATCACTTAATCTTTGAACTTATATTATGTTTTGTATTTAGATGAAGTTCAAGATGCCATTGTTACATGTGGAAGATGCTCATGTTATTGGGGATTGTGTTAAGGTATCCATTCATGTTAGTTTTTATAATAGTATAGCTTATTCTTTACAACTTTTTCTCTACCATAAGTAAAAAAAAAAACTCTTTATTTAATTACTTTCCGCATGGTCAATTTTCAACATGTTCTAAGGGGGCTTCCCTCATCTCTAGATCCAGCTTCATGTTGTACTGCTTTGTTGGAGGCTTATAGTAAGTTTAGTTGTGCTTATTTTCTTTGTAATCATATATATTTTTAAGAGTAAATTGTATATGTCAGTGTTGTGTAGTTCTACTGCTATGTTAGTATTGGTTTTTGATTGATCTTAAGATTTGTAAGTTATTGTTTAGAAGTCTCGCATTCAACGTGATTTTGCTTGAAATTGTTCATAGACCGACATCAACTCTCACATCGTGATCTTTCATACAAAAGTATTGGATGGCTTCCTCTATAAAACTATTGTTACTTAGTGTCACAATAGTTATGAATCTAAATGGCATGATAACTGTTACAATTAAGTGTTAAGGATATATATATATATATATATATATATATATATATATATATATATATATATATATATATATATATATATATATATATATATATATATATATATATATATATATATATATATATATATATATATATATATATATATATATATATATGTAATGAGTTTTTGATTATTGCAAGCACTTGAAGCATATAATCATACGTTGAAAAAAGGCATCACATTATAAACTCCATATTACATTAGGCTTGTTGTATACAAGCATTTGAAGCATATAAGCAAGGATACATTCCACTTGCAGCCACCTTGACCATTTAAAGTTTTGCACCTCTAATTTTTTATGTTCATTGTTCTGTTTTTAGTTTGAGTTGCTATCTCAAGCTATGGCTTATATTTTTTTCTGGTAATGAAAATTTCATTTTCAATGTGTGCTTGGTTGTTTCTGTACGAAAATAAAGGTGTTTCTGGAGTGGTATTGCAATTTGATTCCTATGTTTTGTTGTAATCATTTTTTTGTTTGATCTGTTTCGGCTGGAATATAGTTCTGCCATAAAATATGGTTCAATTTAGAGATGATAATTTTCTGTTGGTTTTGTTGTCTTGCAGCTATATATCAAAGTTGGAGGTGTTGGGTTAACATCGACCACTGCCAGCACCGTGCTCTTTGCAGAATTGTCTTGGACTCCTGCTGATCTAATCCAGACCGAAGACCATGCTCATAAAATTGGATAGGTATATTTTTACAATTAATTGATTTAGTTTTATTCTTCAAGGTTGTTGATTTAGTTTTGTTCTGGTCTGGGCCCAGCCTCGCGGTCCAGCCCAATATCGCACAAGGCCCATTAAGTGGATCAGCCCGACCGGGCACACGCACCACCGTGGGACGGGCAGGGCACGCACCCCGCCGGGATGGACGACACGTCCTACAGCGTCTCAACGTCCCCTTCATCGGCCGAACAGAGCACTCCTAGTCCGTCGAGCAAGACCCTTGGTCCTCCCATGTCCTCGCGTGCTCCCTTCCGCGGGGAGGACGACGCGCCTCCGAAAAACCTCCTGAGCTTCCCTCCACGGGGAGAACAACGTGCCCGGTGCACGTTCTCCACGTGCTCCCCTCCGCGGGGACACGTCATCAACCAACTGTCCACCTCCGAAATAGCAGGTCAAACCCACTTTCCGGAGATCAAGGAGCAGTTGAACTAGGGCGAAGACCACGTCCTGGTCTTCACTACGCCACGTAAGCCCTAGCAGTCACCTGGGTTGGGCCTGGCAATTCAGCTCAACACAAGTGACCGTTGGCCCAGCGCTGGAGTCTCTCTATAAATACCCTCTTCCTCAAGGGGGTCAGGTAACACACTTCTTACCCCTTTTCTGTACTTTGCTATCACTCTGCCCAATTTCTTACTTTGGCATCAGAGTGTCTTGCAGGTACACCCCCCTTTTTTCTCCTCATCACCGGTGAACAAGCAACAGTCCAACAACGTGTGACCAGTCCGTGATCCCCTTCTGATCAGGTCAGATCAGTGGCGCCGTCTGTGGGAGCAGAAACTTCCCCGTTATTCCGAGCAGAAAACTAAAGTTTCACCAACACTCCACGATCATGGCTAGCCCGCACCGCGACGACACTCCGCACGACCTCGTGCTCAACGTCGCCACCAACGGAAACAAGTAGATGGAAACGACGCATCCGGCGGAAACTGACGAGAGAAACGGCCATACTGCCTCACTGTCATCCGCGGAGCGGCCCCTTCAGGCCGACTACCGACCCCCGAGCCCGGCAGCATTCCAACTCGTCCCCATCCCGGTGGGAGCGGATCCAACGGTGGCCGCCCTCTTTACGGCCATCAACCAGACGAACCAGCTGCTGTTCCAGTAAAACGCGAGAATTGGAGCATTGGAACGCGTCGGCCCTCCGAGGTCCCCCCCGCGGGAAGACCAAAACGGAGGCTCGAGAAGTCCCTCACCTCGACCCAAAAATCGCCGGCCGCGGTTGGAGAGACACCGCACACAGGTAGCGCGAGAACGCACCAGGTCCCCAGCAAGACAAGTTCGCGAGAGGAACCAAAGCACCGCGGCGATCACGGCCGGGGGTCCTCGAGGCGAAAACCCAGGCAGGAGGTCGAGAACCCGAAACCAGGGCCCTATTCTGAACGGCTCGTCTCCCCATCGGTCCCCGGCCCCCAACGACGAGGACGATTACCGCACCCCGCTGTGCCGAGAAATCATGGTTGCTCCCATACCCCAAGGGATGGAGAAGCCCCCGCCGTTGTCGACGTACGACGGCACATCCGACCCGGACGATCACCTAGAGGACATCGAGGCCATGCTCGATTACCGAAACGTCCGGGGAGCTATCAAGTGCAGGCTCTTCCCGACGACTCTTAGGATTGCCAGACCCAACCCAGGTGACTGTTAGGGCTTACGTGGCGTAGTGAAGACCAGGACGTGGTCTTCTCCCTAGTTCAACTGCTCCGTGAGCTCCGGAAGGTGGGTTGACCAGCTCTTTTGGAGGTGGGCAGTTGGTGGATGACGTGTCCCCGCGGAGGGGAGCACGTGGAGAACGTGTGAAGGACACGTTGTCCTGCACGACAGGAAAGCGGGTGGCGCCCGCGGGGGGGCAGGTCGTGCCCGCGGAGGGCGATGCTTGGTCGAGCGGGTGAGTCTCCTGCCCGACGTAGTTGGGACAGGCCTTCCTCGCAGGGAGACATTTCTTGCTTGTCGGGGACCTCGTGCCCGACGCGGTGCCCGGATTGGGCTGAACCTGGTGGAACATTATTGGGCTGGCCCCGCATGGTCAGGTCGGGGCCCAGGCCAGAACAGTAACTTTGTCCAATCATATGGACCTTTTGATCCTTGTTAGTGCATAAGGCACTTTTAGTGAGGAGAGAGAGAATAAAAATAAGGATTTATATTATTGAGTTATGATTGTACAAACTGAATTACAAAATATATCTATTTTTATACAACTAACTTATATACTAAGTAACAAACCCTTAATCCTAATTAACTTTGGGCTTGGACTACACAACTTGAATTATATCACAACAATCTTCTGGTTTTACAAGTGATTGATTCTAATGAAAAGTAAATAATGTTTGTGATAAGTGTCTTAAATTTACTCTCTCTCTCTCTCTCTCTCTCTCTATCTATCTATCTATCTATCTATCTATCTATCTATCTCTATCTCTATCTCACACACACACACACACACACACATGCACACATACAAATGTTACACCCTATGCATTATTGTGCCCCAATTTGCATTTATATTTGTTTTATTCAATTTTGCTTTTCAAATGTGGCAAATATTTAAAAATTCATCTTAACTTATTTCACACATTTCTCACTTGTACACTTTCAATTCTTAAACTCTCTCCAAAATTTCAAGAATTCATTAGAATATTAACTCTAAAGTAAGGATCATAGGTTATGGTAGTATTAGTGAGTATCTTTACCCAATAATAGTGGATGTCTTTTTAGTTAAAAGTTTGAAACAAAATTTGCCGAGTATTAGTTAATTATGTGACAAAGGTAATAATGTAACTTTTGATTTGTCTGTATACAAGATCATAAAAACTGAAAAAACAATCAATCTCTTTTTATCTATTTAAGAATTAGAAATACCTCCACCGTAATTTTTAATAAACTACTCTCACGTGATGTTTGTCTTTTAAGTAAAGAGAATGAGTCATGGTTGTTGAATATGAGAATAACCCATATACACATGCACCATTTGAACAAATTGGTCCATAAGGAATTATTAATCGATTTTTCAAACTTGCACTTTGAGTAGAACCAGCTATGTGATGTGTGTTGAAAGCATAATATAGTAAATGTCTCCTTTAAAATGTAAATATTATTTCTGCAAATAAGTTTTTACAACTTTTGCATATGGATTTTTTTGGCTCATTCAAAACCATGAGTTTTTGTGGAAATTACTATGCCACGTGGATGAGTATTCTCGCTATACCTAGACATTTTTCTTATTTTATGAAAGATTCCTTTTGTAGGTTAGCAAAAGTTATCCAAAATGAAAAAGGCTTAAGCATTGCATTTATTAGAAGTGGCCGAGAAGGTGAATTTTAAAATGTGGAATTAGAGAATTTTTGTATTGAGAATGGCATGTAGCATATTTTATGTATTACATGCACTCTCGAGGGTAGTGGAATGGAAAATATATCTTTTGAAGAGTTAGCGAGGATGATGATCAATAAAACCAACCTTCATAAGTATTTATAGGTTGATGTGGTGAGCAATGTTTGTTATATGATAAATCGTGGTTTGATAAGACCAATTCTAAAGTTGACGCCCTACAAAACATACAAGGGAAACAACCTTAATATTTCTCACCTACATGTTTTCATATGCAATTGTTTTGTCCTTAATAACAAGAAAGGTAATCTTGATAAATTCGAAACTAAAACTGAGGAAGGTTTATTCTTAGGATATTCCACTTCTAGTAAAACTTTTAGAATATTGATTAAAAAAACCTGAATATTAAAGAATTAGTTTAGGTTGTCTTTGACGAAATTAACTCAAAGCCGATAGAGGTATAAGTGTTTGATTATGCAAGTATTTTGGAGAAAACTCTTTTAGAAGACCAATATCAATACAAATACCAAAGTAAAAACAGTGATCAAACTGAAGATAATAAATAATGATCAAGGTGAAGAAATAAACAACGACAATTAAACCTACCTAAGGAATGGAGAATTACAATATATCATCTAATCCATAACATAAGTATAGATATTTCTTAGAGAGTTGTTTCCTTCACACATTAAGAGACCGATGTTGGGGATGAAGTATCTTAGAGGTGTTGTTGGTTGAGATGAAAGCTTTATGGAGTTGCTGTCCGTGAAGAGAGTGAGCATGATTGTTGAGCTGGCACATCTTCTTCCACAACTAAGGGATCTAAGAAGCGAGTTTTTTCTACTTCGATCTTGCATGGGTATCGCCAAACTCTTTCTGGCCTTAGAACACGTCAACCTAATCATATGGAGAAAACAACTATTTGGTTTGATAAAGAGTTGCGAAGGGCAATTGAAGACATTGTGGTCATGGAGGTCCTTTCTTCGGGGACCTTCAATCGAGGGTTGCTTCTTTACCTATTAGAGTTGGTGGGTTGGGTTTTTACTCGGCAATAAAGGTTATCTCATGTGTGTTTGTGGCTTTTAAGGCTCAATCTTGGGTGTTACGGAATCATATATTGAGAGACAGTGTGATATATGGTATGAGCCTTAATTTCAACAGAGCTTTGGATGATCTTAGTGTTGTTATTTCAAAATTTGACCTTAACACTTTTACTAACAAGGACATTGTCCCTCCTAAAGCACAACAAATTTTAGCGAGTGTCATTTTTAGTAAAAGTGTTAAAGATATGAAAGTAAAATTTGACATGCCAATAAGACAAAAAGAAAATTTTGATTACTTGCAAGCAACACATGCTCAAGATTTTCTCTTTGTTACCCCTATTGTTGGTCTTGGTTGACATATGTCCTCGATAGAGTATCATACCTTCCTTAAATACCAACTTATGATTTTCTTATTTTCCATTGATGTGGTTTGCCTTATTTGCTGCAAGACGTGCTTAAATACTTTTGGGGAACACACAATCCATTGTAAGGAGTTTCCAGTGTTTAAATAACGACATGACTTTGTTAGGGATGTTCTATTTGATTTATTTTAGTGTGTCGAGGTATCTGTAAAATAAGAGACACTTATAAATGTCTTGACCAACCCACAAGAAAGAAGATCGACATTTAGGCTAACATATGTTCTGGTGTATGAGTGGATATGAGGAAAACATGCACGTGTAGACTTGACTAAAGTTTTTCTCACTAGTAGGATTAAAGAATGAAGGTTATACTATGAGACAAACAACTCTCAAAATTACTTCAAATAAAATAATCAAAAAAAAAAATATTTTCGACAATCTAACATTTTTTATATCATTTTTTGACATTTTCCGTTTTGTAACACAGTAAATAATATTTTTCTGAGTAAAAAAAAAAAACTAATGGATATTTAACTGCTATTTTTGTATTTCTTCTAATGAAAGTTATCGTATCTAGTAATTACTTATGTATTTCCTGTGTCGAATATAGTTGACTTATTTTGACTAAATTACGTGGATTGACTTGGAGAGTATAACATTGCATTAGATAACACGTAGCTTCTTAATTAGTTTGTGTGTTAATGTGTGTGTAGGTATAAGTTAATTAATTACAAAAAGTTAAAGCATAAAGAAAAGAAAAGGAAAGAGTGAATAAAGAAACAAGAGAAAGCGAGGATGAGTCGGAGAGGAGATGAAGAATACGATTATCTGTTCAAAGTTGTACTCATCGGCGATTCCGGCGTCGGTAAATCCAATCTACTTTCCCGATTCACTCGCAATGAGTTTTGTCTCGAATCCAAATCCACCATCGGCGTCGAATTCGCCACACGCACACTTCAGGTCTCTTTCTTTCTTACTACTCTACTCTACTTATCATCACTAGATCTCAGATCTCCAACTCCTAATTGTTTTTTGGATTTAGATTTAGTAGCGGTTTTTGCTTTGGTATTTCTAAATTATATTATTCAAGTTAAAGTAAGAATGAAATTAGAGAATGCAAATGTGTTGTGTTGGTTTGCACAGGTTGAGGGAAGAACCGTGAAATCTCAGATATGGGATACTGCCGGACAGGAACGTTACAGGGCCATTACCAGTGCCTACTATCGCGGTGCACTCGGAGCTCTTCTCGTCTATGATGTCACCAAACCTACTACTTTTGACAATGTCACCAGATGGCTGAAGGAACTTCGGGATCATGCTGATGCTAACATTGTTATCATGTTGATCGGCAATAAAACCGATCTCAAGCATCTCCGTGCTGTTAACACAGAAGATGCTCAGAGTTATGCTGAGAGGGAAGGTCTTTCTTTTATCGAGACGTCTGCGCTTGAAGCCACCAATGTCGAGAAGGCTTTCCAGACGATTCTCGGGGAGATATACCGTATAATCAGCAAGAAGTCGCTGTCATCTTCCAATGATTCCGCCGGAGGTTCCAATATTAAAGAAGGTAAGACCATTACCATTGAAGGATCCGAAAACGCCGGTACAAACAAACCCTGTTGTACATCTTGAACTTTAACTTCTTCGACCGGGAGTAGCGAGGGAGAGATTATATTTTTATAGATACAGTACAAGTTTGTTTTTTCATTTTCTTATTATTTTGTTTCTATGTTTTGCTCACTATCAGGAATCAGGTTCGCATTGCTCATTGTTTTGTGCCTTATCATTCTTTTTCGACTTTGTTTTCATTTGGTATGCGTGATCAGTTGAGTAATTAGTATTATATCATTCTCAGTTTCAATTCCTCCTAAGTTTCTAAAACACTGCTGTGTTTGTTCCGCTTCATCGGATTTGCCTGCAGATTTGTGATTCATGTTTATCGATTAAATTCCGATGTATTCTTGCATAGATGGTGGACTTGTGATCGATTACTAATATTCGAAGTCAATCAAGTGTCTATGTTTGAAAGTTTACTAAATATAGTCTCACCATCAATTTATTTGATCTAAATCCAGTAAACTCTTCCAATGGTTTCTTAAGTTTGCATCTGCACAACTGATATAGTACATCTGTTGTTCTCGTGTTTGTGATTTTTGCATCTGCAACTAATATAATGTTTCATTTCTTGAAAATTTCTCCATCTGATGCACAAGTAAATTCCAGAGGCTTGAAAGTCTTTTGGTGTTTTATTAGGCTCATACTTGAATAAAATTAAAAGCTAACAAAGCCCTTATGTTTTTTGAGATGAAATTTATCTTCATTTTTTGGAAGACTAAGGTTATGCCTTTATTATTTTTTGAGATGAAATTTATCTTCATTTTTTGGAAGACTAAGGTTATTGCTGCAACTTAAGAGTAATTTGTATCAGATCATATTTGATCACTTGTACATGTGTTGGGGTTAACACTTATATTTTACAAGCCTTTTGTATGGTTTAGAAGGATTAAACATGGTGATTGTCATGTAATTTGTTTACCAATGTGGATAATAAGCTCAAATCTAGACGTATTTTGAGATTATGGTGTTCACAATATTATCAAATAAATTTTAACTATTTTTAGCATATGGATTTAGAGTCATGCACACTACATTTCATTTCCAAATTTGTAATTTTGATTTTTTATTCTAAACTTTAAACTCTTGTAAAAAAAATCCAAACTTTAAACTATTATTGAGGTCAAATTTGTGCTAGATAAAGTAAATAAAGACAAGTTTTTTTTTTTGGACGGAAAGACAAGTTAAAATTGCCAAAATATTACTCCACAGACTATGTATACGTCTTAAAATAAGTGATTCATTTATACTTTTTTAATAAACACCTAATTAGAGGTGTTCGCGGTTTGATTTGGATCGATTTTTAAAATAAAATGTCATCCGATTTAAAGATAAATTTACTTGCGGTTTGGTTCGGTTTTGAATGATTGGTTAAAAAAGTTCGATCCAATCCAATTTCTTGCGGTTTGATTTGGATCGGTTTTTTAGATATTCAAATTACAAATTATAATTTTATTAATATTGTAAAAATATTAATAAATAATAAATTTGGTATTTTATATATATATATATATATATATATATATATATATATATATATATATATATATATATATATATATATATATATATATATATATATATATATATATATATATATATATATATATATATATATATTAAAAGTCAATACTACAAAATAATAATGATCGACAATGATTGAAACAAATGAAATAATAAAAATTAATAGATTAAATAAAACTAATAAATAGTATTTTATATAAAAAAGTATCATTTCATAATAAATTAACACAGCATATTATACTAATAAAAAATAAATAAGTATAAAAATATAAACATGCGGTTCAGTTTGATTTGGATCGGTTTTGCAAAATCAATTCGAAATTCGATCCGAACCGAGCGATTTTTATAAAATGACATTCAAACACATCCAATAATTTTCTGTTTTTTGCGGTTTTCGGTTTTTTTAGATCGGCTTGCGGTTTTTATTTGGATCGGTTTGGATTTAAATACCCCTACACCTAACTATAATTAAAAAATAAATATAAACTAATTTACAACCCTTTTCAAACTCTAGTGTATGTAAATCAGACCAAGTTTGAAATCAACAATTTGATTTGCTAAGACAATTAGTTATAAATGAATAATTTGATGTAGAACTTTATCACAAACCAAATGGAAATCCATCTTTATATGTTTGGTTCTTTCGCAACACTGAATTGTTAGCTATATGTATAACTTTGATTGTGACAGTAGATGGAAAATGGATTATGACGAGGGATGTGGGAATTTTTGAGTAGGTATAGAAGTTATTGAGCTCCATAAAAGGTGTTGGTGAGAGCTCTGTATGCAGCCTCAGATGAGGATTTAGAGACTACCAGCTAGTTTTTGCTTTTCTAGATGATAATGAAGGTGCCAAGGTAAAAGCAGAACCTCGTCGTTGATCTCCAATTTAATGGACATGGTTCCTTGCCAGAGTCTGTGAAACTTGTGAGTTCAAGGTTAGAACTCACTTTGAACTGAGGCTAGATGCTGGAGAATTCTTGAGGTATCTTACAATCTTAAGGGTTGTTTGGAAATGTGTTGTGTTAGACTTAGATGAGAATTGGCTCAAAAGATCCAAAAATATTTTATTTGGTATAAAGATATGCCTTTAGAGGGCCTTGCTATTTCGAAACCAAGGAAATATTTTAGGCCTCCCACATATTTAATGCTATTTTTTTTGTCTAAAACATATTTAATGTGATTGGTATCAAATAAATTGGTCCTTACAAGAATTAAGTCATCTATATAAATTAAAATATTAGTGAAAGATATATCTTATTTTTTTATTTATAAAGAATAGTCAGATTTATATTGAATGAAACCTAAGTCGAGAATGGTGGAAATAAACTTATGATTCCATGGTGTACTGGTATGCTTTGGGCCATAAATGGATTTCTTTAGTTTACAAATTAGGTTTTTAGGGGAAGTAATGAGTGTGAATATATGTGCTTGTGGGTACAATATATGCAGTAGTCAGATGATCACGGTGGTTTTGATGATGACAACACTATGATATGAAGTCTTCATCAGTCAAGATCAAAATGTTATATCAAGATGATCAAGAGATACTGTTTGTGAGATCAAAATGTCAAGTTCAATCTCTTTAAGGACAACACCTAATGTCAAGCGGAATTTGGTGAAATCGTTGATTATCTCTAGTTAACCAATCTCTAATGGCGGTGTCGATCTATAATTTCTATCAAACCTTATCAATTAGAAGAAGTAAAGTCCTAGATGAAGTGTTGAGTAAATAATGAGTCTATGAGGTGATCTTGAAGCTTCAAATATTGTGAAATAGAGAAAGTGTGAAAGCTCTCATGGTCTGTGTCTGAGTAATCAGGGTATTGTAAAAATATTAGAGTAATTATAAAATTATTAAGGCAATGCAGACACTCATCTAAATTTTTTTAAACCTCTCTAAATTTGCTAAAACACCTTAAAACCTACAAAGGAACCATCAAAGTGCTTGTCGGATTGACCAAGGATGTTCCTAATCACTTAGGAAGCTTATATACACTGTCTAATAGATTAGGACACCTAACCAATCGATTAGATCAAGGCATAACACTTCTTCATTGATTAAAAACTCTCCTAATTTATTAAGACACATAGTTGTTGTAGGGTTTCCTCTTTAGGAATTAGGGTTGTTGTGTTTTGAAGCTCCTCATTAATTAACCTTATAGCATAATCGATTAGAGTCGTTAAGACCATTGATCTTTTTGCTTTTAGGGCCAAAATTTTCTCTTATAAATAAAGGGTTTCTCCCAACTTCAAAAACACACAAGAAAACATATTTATATATATTTTCTGACTTTCTAACCTTTCCATTTAGTTTCTTTCTTTTTCACTAAACTATCTTAGTGCTTTGAAAGTGAAAAATACTAGTTAGGGTTTTTGTTCTGGTGTTGGGGTATTCTTGTAATTTACACAATAGGAATTTGTCTCCTGTGAGAATTTATTGTTTGGTTCATGAGTTAAACTAGTAAAAGCTCCTGTTTGATTTGTGAGATTAATTAGTCAAATTTTATGTTTGGTTCATGATCATAGCCATGTGTAAAAGCTCTTGTTTGATTCATGAGATTATCCTTCAATATCTGCGTTTGCCTCCTGAGCTCAGCCTGGTGTAAAAGCTTTGTCTAGTTCCAAGATCGTCATTGTGTAAAATCTCATGTTTTGTTTGGAGGATAGCCATTGTAAAACTATGTTTGGTCGTAAGAAGGTTTGTATGCATAATCTGTAAAAAGCTCACATTTGATTTTGTGAATACTCTTAACATGGAACTCTTGGGACAAGAGTAGGCCAAGTAGTTAGGCGAACCCGTATAAATCCTGTTGCAATTCTCTCAGCCCATATCACTTTATATTTCCACTATTTACTCTGATTTTCGTCTCCTTAGTTAATCCATTGCATATTCTTTGTTTGTTTTACAAAATTATTTTGAACAATTTCATTTATCTATTAATTTTTATCTCGACATCATTTTCCCAACCTTCACAATTCATCCTTATTTTTGTATTTTGAGTCAATTGTCCAATAAGTGGCATCAAAGTCTAACTTCTGTTATAAGACTATTTGTCTCTGGATGAAGAATGATGACTACAAACACATCTTCTGTTTTTAACGAAGGTTTTCTCATAAATACACATTCATCGTTTAATGGTGAAAGGTTTGAATTATGGAAAGCAAGTATGCAATTTTTCGTTGAGAAATTGATTTTGAGATGTGAGATTTTATTATAAATGGTCAGTTTATTCCCTCTAATTACATTAATAATAAAGTAGTGAATAATTTAGATAATCTCTAAGCTAGAGATGATAAGAGAAAAATCGAACTCTATTTGAAAGGAAAGTACTTAATGATGAACGATCTAAGCACCAAAGACTACAATTATGTTTTTATTTGTATTTTGGTATAGGAAGTATGTGACACTTTTAAAATGATCCATGTAGACTTCCCTAAGATCAAACAAGAGAATCTCCCCCCTCCCCCCCCCCCTCTCTCTCTCTCTCTCT